CAGTCCATTGGTTATAGATGTGGTGATGCTCACACACCTCTCCAGGCGCTGAAACACACACACACACACACACAGGTTTGTTTTTATGGTTTATGGGGACTCTCCATAGGCGTAATGGTTTTTATACTGTACAGACCGTATATTCTATTGCCCTGCACCAACCCTACCCCTAAACCTACCCCTCACAGGAAACTTTCTGCATTTTTAGATTTTCAAAAAAACTCATTCTGAATGATTTATAAGTCTTTTGAATTATGGGGACACTAAAAATGTCCTCAAATCACCTTCTCGTTGTAATACCTATGTCATACCCATGTTATTATACAAATGTGTGTCCTCATTAACCACATAAACATGCACACACACAGGTGAGTACAGAGCAATATGAATGCATGCATGAATGCCATGCCAAAAACACCAAACAACAAAATAACTCTACAGATCCCAATAATAGTTCATGCATAAATAGTCTAATCTCAATTAAAGGCATGACTGCATCAATTTTTAATACCTCCCCCAGCAGATGGAGAGTCACTGACACCATCAGCTGTCATTAGTACATGCATGACAAGATAACATCGTTGTATGTTCAGCACACATCAGGTTTACACCGCTGCCTCAACTCCTTCCTTTATATTTGAATCAGCAAATAAGATAATAAAAGACTACAAAAGCCATCCCTGCAACTACCAGCCCTGTTCTACAAGTCTGATAGTGTCAGCTTCTCCATTCTGCTCGTCCTTTTGTTATTGTGCTTAGTTTCCCCCATGTTTTCTTCGCTAATGTGTGCTGTGAAGGACGCGCTGACACGTATGTAGACGGCCGATGGGAATGAGTCGAGCCCTACCTCCTCCAGCTCATCTTTGGCGTCCAGGCTGGTGGACACCAGAAGGCGCCCCTGCGCTTTACCCTTAGCCGGCGAGGGCTCCATCTCCTCCCGCCTCGCTGCGCCCACACACACGGGACCTGACGGGGGTTTAAGGCGCTGTTTGAAACCCTTCCCTCACTGTTTCCGTGGGTCTGTGGTGATTATGAACTATTTAAACCCTCTCTCCGCCCAGTCCTAGGCGCCTACAGTGTGTTTACGACTCTTAATTCGCCACCTTCGCGCGACCACCCCAGTGTTTCCACAGTGTCCGACTATAACAATTCAACTTCCGCAGGGCATGGTGGCTTAGCGGAAGTGCTCCGAACGCGGAGTGAAGGCGGAGCGGAGTGACTCATTTATACCAATCGCGTGCTGGGTATTTTGATTGACGTGGCAGTTGACCAATCACGGCGATGTTACTGTCAGCGAGACCCGTCAGACAAAAAGAAGCCCGTGCAACTTGACAAGAACGCTGCTTCTGTGTAAACATGCGAGGAGAAGCTCAGACAGACAGTAAACTATAGGGTTGGAGCGAAGCTAATGAAACCTGCATAAATGCGTACTGATTTTTTAAAATATATATATTACTATTATAATTAACGTAATAACAAAAGCAACAACAATAATCGTTATTTTATCATTATTAATTTATAATTAATAATAATAGCCTACATTCATTATAATTAAGTTTTGTTTTGCAATTATAAAATCGTAATCGAAAATTATGATTATTATATTAAAATACAATCAAATCCATATATCACTTCTTACTAAAAATCTAATTTCGGGCTCTTATATTCTTCATAAATATATACTATATGCTGTTATTTCTGTAATTAAATATTGCTAAAAGCCATTATATAAGCTATAAAATGTAAGCATATAATACATTTTAATTACAGATATGTTGTGGAAGATTACTTTAGTAGTATTAGATATTATAGATATTATTTGTTCAAAATTTGCAAAATGTATATAATGAGCGAGTACATCATGAATTCATCTTCCAAACCGCGTTTTTGTCTTATTCCGAATCACTCCGGTACACTTATAATAAGTACTTATATTTGGACTATTGTAGCCTGGTCGGGTCGTCACCGCTGCGGAGGAACACATACCTGCGTGAATCGCCAGAGACATAAACTTAGAGAAGTAGCTCCGGTTGGAATGTTCTTCCGCGGGATGTGTGCAGTTCTGTTTATTAACCGCTAGAGCGACAAAAGTTACATAGTGCTGCTTTAAAGCGTATGGTCTTCTCAGTTTACTCATTTTCAATGTTAATACATACATACCACAATATTTGATATGTATATAGTACAATATATATTTAATATGATTCAATATAAAATCACATACATTACGAGTATATACAAGTAAATATATTGTCACATATTTTTCAATTTACACTGAACAAAATTATAAACGCAACACTTTTGTTTTTGCCCCCATTTTTCATGAGCTGAACTCAAAGATCTAAGACTTTTTCTATGTACACAAAAGGCCTGTTTCTCTCAAATATTGTTCACAAATCTGTCTAAATCTGTGTTAGTGAGCACTTCTCCTTTGCCGAGATAATCCATCCACCTCACAGTTTTAATATATTAACACAATATATTATTCTGCATATTTTCAATATACAGTAAACATATTTGTTGCTCATTAATAAGTAAATATATTTGAACAGTATTCAATTTAAACAGTAAAACAATTAATATATATTTATGAAACTGCAAAAATGGACAACATAGAGTTTGTTTTGGTTAACAGAAATTACACATGGCAATTTACCCCAATATAAATGATCTCTACCTGCCAAAATATAATTGAAAAGTGCTAATATAGCAGTGCTTACCTCTTAGATGCATTATTCTTTAAAAGGCTGACTTTGTTAGACAAATACCACATTATCCACACCACTCCAGTCAGTGGTTTGAAGATAAAATGTATTGATGATGTTTCGCTTCTCATGATGTTAACTGATGGATTGGAGTGGTGTGGATTACTTGTGGATTATTGTGATGTTTTTATCAGCTGTTTGGAATCTCATTCTGACGGCACCCATTCACTGCAGAGGATCCATCGGTGAGCAAGTGATGTAATGCTACATTTCTCCAAATCTGTTCCCATGAAGAAACAAATTCATCTACATCTTGGATGAACCTGAGGGTGAGTACATTTTCAGTTTTGGGTGAACTAGTCCTTTAATAGGCTGGGGTTTTATTTAAAACCTAAGACATTTTTTTTTATGTGAAATCTTTAGCTTTTGAAGTATGATATGGGTAAGTATGATATGATGAATGGCATTTTAAGTGTGCAAAGATTATTTAGGCTGTTACTAATGCTTTGACAAATGAAACTGTTTTGATTGTGCTCACAAAGTGAGTAAGCAAGAGAGAGGTGAGGTGAATGCAGCGGTGGAAAGAGTACTGAAAAGTAAAAGTACCATTACCTTCCAAAAAATTTAGTGCGAGTAGAGTAAAAGTACTTGTCCAAAAAAACTACTTGAGTAAGAGTAAAAGAATAACCTATTTAAAAGTACTCATGAGTAGTGAGTAGTGAGTACTGAGCTGTGGATTCTACCCCCTCATAATAAATGCTGTACACCGCAATTTATAGATTTTAAAAACGTGGTACATTCTGATAATTCACATTATCTTGTTTGTCACAAAGAATGAAGAATATCTATCATCCAGCAGTTTTAATTTTGACTGTCAACTCTTTAAAATACATTAAAACAGCACGGAAACAGTTTTCAGTTGAAGAAAAGATGAAAGTTATTCTCAGTACAATCATCCCCATTTAAATCATAAAGTTTGAAAAAATGTATTTCAAATTATGTGTAAGGCCACTGAGACAGCATGCTGTTGTTGCACATAATATATTAATGTTTAGAACTGTGCAAATACAAACACCATTAGAAACTCAGTTCAGCATCACACACCATGATATGGGTTCAAATGAGAGCCCATTTCTCTCCAAAACCGTGCCAGTTTTAGCGTTTTGCAATAAAGAAATAAAAATAACTAAACTTTATAATTTATGTTACAATTTTAACAAATGCACATTGTTCTAGAAGGATGGCAAATTCATGCCATACCTTTTACACATTTACTTGAATTGTTATGCTGATAATACAATTTGTAAGGAAAAATGCATTAAATAGCTAGGTATTTCTAGGGAAACTTTTTCAAAGGAAAACACACACACATGCATGTCTCTTTGCTGAGTCGCGGCGGTCTCTGTGAATCAGCAGCATCCACAACTGAACAGAACAAAAAGTGTTGAACTTGAAAATAGGGTATATGTCGAACATCACCTGACCAAACCCGGAAAACAGGACTCATTGCTTCTGCTTGTCGGAGAACGTGTTAACAGCCGGATTAAAAAATAGCGATATCTATGGACTTTTAAGATAATCAGTTAAACTAGCTAGCTGTTTTTATTGTTGACGTTTTATTAAATTTTTATATCTAAACGTGAAAAGAATATTAAAAAAAACTTTTAGATATCAGTCCGCATATGTGATGGACATTGGTTATGATCATCATTGGTATCTACTTTGAAGGCATCTTGAGTAAAACGGCTTCATATTTAACTAAGCATATGCAAAACGCTTGAACTGGAAGCGACGAGACCCGGTTAACAGAATACGGAAGTCTGTTGCGCATAACCCCTATTGTTTATGCGCGAGTGCACTTGCTAAATGAAAGCGGATTGTATAAAATGGATATAAAAAAAAACGTTTATTAACGAGCTGCAGTTTTATTACATCACACGCTGGCATAGATGTAGTATATTAATGCCAGGGGGTCATCAATAAAGTGCAGATTGGTCGTCAATTTGTGTTTCCAACACACTTTTTCACAGCGCGCATCATGCGCTCAAACTCATTACAAGTCAACAAGTTCAACAACAACTTTTCCAAGTAACTGCTGCAGAACGCACGCGAGAGAGAGACGAGGCTGTCTCATAAGTAGGGATGTAACGGTATGAAAATTTCATATCACGATTATAGTGACCAAAGTTATCACGATTATCAATATTATCACGGTTTTGATAAAATTAGATGAAAACGTTCAAAAAGAGCTGATACACACACTTAAAACATTTCAATAAGTTTTATATTTGAAAATCAACAAACAACAAGGGAGACAATGACGCTGTTGTGGAGGAACGCCATTCCCTGAGTGGTGAAAAGATGACAGTCTTACAAAGACATCTGACAGCATCCATCGTATTTACCAACACCACACCATGAAAATATTAATTACAGACTCTTTTGAAACGGCAATATTCTTTCTTGAGTCATAATTTGCTCGTCAGGGAACTGACATCCTCATGAACCATTTCAAATTACACACGTCTCAAAACCACCCCTATGAAATCTCTCACAGAAGTGAGCCTCGATTTAACCGAGAACTATATTTTAAAAAATGCAAAGCAGTTTGATGTGAAAGATTTATGTTTTAGTGTTCTTTGACAAACATCATTAAAACAGCAAGACATCTTTCCCTTTCCTCTTCCTCCTGAGATTAAGAGCAGAAGAGTCTCTAATGGGAAATGCTCACCTTAACAATGTCATTGATCAGAGAATAGCGAAACATCCAGTCCAGCGTGATTCCTTCACTCTCCATGAGGTCCTACAGGTCACACACACACACACACACACACACACACACACACACACACAGGTTTATATTTGTATCATGTGGCTCATAAGGAGAGTTTGTGTGGAAACAAGACTTGATGGATATTAATTATATTCCCTCACATCATCCTGTCAGTTATGTGTTATTATATTTTCACATTTTATATCTAAAGTGTGTAATTTTCTTGTTAAAATATTTTATCCCAGTTTGAATGTGCAGAGACAACTCTAAGCAAGCCATTTGTAGACTGACTTTGAAGAGTGTAAACTAGGGATGGGCGTATCGATCCAAAGTATCAATATATCGATACTGACGCGAGTATCGAAAGTATCGATACTCAAACAAAAAATATCGATACTAAGGTGTGTTTTATTTACCAGTGATTTTGTTAATTTAACACACAAAAAAAATAATGCATACAATATGCATTGACTTGGACGAATAACCTTTGTTAGCGAGTAATTGTGTAGGATAGAACTATTTTCCTTCTCATCTGAACACGCAAATGCTGCAAGACAGAACTAATCAATAACACTGAGCGTTCACTCACTTCTGACAGTGCATTCAAACAGGGCTGATTTTCCCAAAAGTATCATAAGAAAGCATTAAAGCTTTTGGGAACGGCAGCCCTGAACAATGCTTATCAGAGTTATTTCACAATAAACAAACTGAAATTGTAGCCTAGTTTGTGCAATTACAGTCATTTAAATTGAACGTTGAAAGATAATATTGATCATGTTCTATTCTGTAATGTTAATAGAAATCATACACTGTCAGAATAAAAAGGTTGCATTTTATGGATGCAGCAGCCTGTTACTGGCAGCCCCTTATGAAAATGAACCATGGTTTTACTAAAGTGACCATAGTTCAACTGTAGTATTTATAGATTTGAATCATGTGTAAACAAAAAACGTATTTGAACCATGTGTAAACAAAAATATAACCTAATAAGATACAATTAAGGCGTATTGAATGTTAAAATGCGTTTTAAACAAAGTTAAGTGCTTATCATTACCCAATTTACTCTTAGTAATTTAATAATTTAATACATTTCATAATTTAAAAGTTTAGTTCAGAAGTATCGAATCGGTATCGATATCGACGATACTGCCTTGAAAAATATCGGTATCGTATCAAAAACAAAATAAGTGGTATCGCCCATCCCTAGTGTAAACACTGTGATGCTTTCAAAACATTGCTGTTTGCTGGAGCAATCTGACATAGCAACACTGGCTCAACCAACAGCATTACTTTGGGGGCGGGGCTACCAATTTTTGGCAAAAAGTCTTCTAGTGGCACATTGAAGTCCTCCTAGGAAGTTCGTATTTATGAGTTGGAAGTCGAAATTACGACATCAGGTGCATTCAATTCACAATTCACATAAAATCCAACATCTTTTTTTTTTTAATTTTACATCTATAGAATGATGAATAAACCCTAGCCCTAACCCTAGTTTTTATTAGATTTATGAGGGTGCTGTAAATTGATTTGGAATTGTATTTTCAACATGCACCTTAAATATTTTTATTGAAAACAAACAAAAAAATCATTAACTTGAACAAATTTACTATTAATAGAAAGGTTGCATCCATTGCACTGCGACACCCCAACTCTCATAATTACTAATGTTTATGTTACTAGATCTTTTCGACATGATTTGAATGCACCGTAAGGCAGTCTCTTAAAGTGACTGATTCTGTTACGTTCCACATAGGCAGCATCATCATGTGCCACTCACATGAAGCGCACAAGAGATTCAACCAAAGACTATAGATATACAAAGAGAGTTCCTTCCTGTTACTTATGAATCGGAGAAACTGCAATGCACAATATGGCCGAGTAGACATGCCTTCTGAATGAAAGAGTCAATCGCTTATTGGTAAAGTCATTGCGTCACTGCAGGTGCCGTTAGAAGCAACAAGGAGGACCAACCATTTTGGGGCAGTTCATTTCAGATTTTGTTGCTGATTTGAAATATGTAATTTAATTGTGAGCTCAGCAAGCAGTTTTTTAGATTTCAGGATTCCCCCATTAATTTAGATAGGGCTTGGTCTTGGATGCCCGAAATAGCTGCCCGGAGACATTGCAAATATGTCCGTCATCTTTCCTTGAAAGGGACTTTGATTCAACTCACAGCTGATTCCAGTAGAGTTTGACATTAGCATGTTGCTAAGCTAACAATATATATTCGAATAAAGCCCAAAATACATAGCACAGACAAATATTAGCTAAAACAGAAGATTTAAATTATATCAAACAGTTTTTAATCTACTTTTTGTTTTTTTTAATGATTTAAATAAATGTAGCCAGTGAGGTTTTTGCTTAACTAAATCTATTAAAATTTGTTTTCGGTAATTGAAATGAAGCTGAAATAGAAAAATAAACATTAGGTGAAAAAATAGAACATAGAAATAGAAATAGAATTAAAGTACTACAGTTACTAAAACTAAAATAAAAAAAAAGAAAAAGAAAACTTAATAGAAATTTAAAAAAGATTAAAAAAAATGACAAAAACAAAAAATAGATAAAAATTTATAAATAAATTAAAATAAATTGAAAAAAATTAACTGATAAATATGAACTGAAAATATACAATTATTAGCTAATCGAAAATATTGTGTTGGTCCTATCTGTCAAAGATACATGCAGTGTAGCCTTAGAAGAAGATATCTTAGAAGGCAGCATAGTTATTAATGTCAGAAATATGTCTAAAAATGTTGTCTAATTAGATGGTAGAAGCTGCAAGTAGTGATGATTATAGTTGTGTTTGTGAACATTTATGCGTCTATACATTCAAAAAAGACAAAAAAAATGTTTAATGAATTATTTAACACTTAAATGTATTATGTATTTATTTATGTACTGTATGTAATTATTTGTTTGTTTATTTATGTATGCAGAAAAAAGGTTGGCAAGGCAAGTCAAAATTTGAATCCTTATTACTGAGCCCTGCTTGGTGAAACAAAAAGTGTTGCATAAACACGAGTCGTCTATTAATACATCAACTGTAGGTGCAGTAACTGTGAGCAGTGGGGTGCGTGAGCGTTCACCTGTAAGCTTCCTCGAGGGCAGTACTCAGTAAGGATGCAGATGTTGGGTGGGTCGATACAAGAGCCGATAAAGCGCGTCAAGTGTTCATTCTGTACATCACGCATCTATTATGGGAGGAGAAAGGAACAGAAGGGAAAAGAGGAGGGAGAACAGCATGACGAGGAGAGGACAGAGAGAGAGAGAGCTGTTTAGTCCCTCTTTTCCATCAGTCCCCGGGCTATTAATATCTCCCAGGACATCATATAAACTTAATTAAGGCACCTGGCAAAAAGCACAAAACGGCATGGATGCACACTTACATGTTTGAGTTCAAACAGCACTTTCCTGGTGAGCTCGATGCGTTTCTTGTTGACATACTTAATGGCTGTTATGTTTCCCTGGAAAAGAGGCACCAATGCACATTAGTTTCACCCTGATTGCTATCGTGGACTTGGCAAAGAACTGGAGGGCTTTGGGGACGGGGGACCATCATTTAAGAGAAGAAAAAGAGCAACATAATGCGTTAATTAAGCACCATCCTAATTAATGGGGGAAATGATGACATGTGGACATGAATAGCGCTCATCCTCAGGGGTTCTGCTTAATTGGAGAGGAACTATAGCTCATCCGTTGAAGAATGGGCCCATTAGCCAGGGCACGCCGACGGCATTATAGGAGATCCAAAGATGAACCCTTCCATAATTTGACACTTCTGTTGCTAGGCAGAATTTGTTATTTATTTATGTTCAAAACAGCACACAGCCTGGAACAGAATCACACAACTCACAGCAATAGAATGAAAAGGTAAAACAAAACAGAACTGGAAGTGGGTGGGGCTTAGTAGACCAGATTTTCCTTGCGTTCCATTCGGAAGGGCTCATCCCTATGCCCTAATCCCTTCAAAGGGTTTACCCTCCAGAGTGAGAGCTTCGAAGGGTTGAAGGGTGTAGGGGACCAAACAACTGTTTCTTGAAGTGCCCTTCTGTGTCATCATCATGTGCCCACACGGAGGCACCATCATCATGCAAATAATCTGCGCAAAGGATCATGGGAGCCCGAAGTGTCAATCAGTTGTACCCTTCGAAATCCTTCATTCCAAAGGGCACTTTGAAGTGGCCAGTTTTGAGCACTTCGGTTTGGAACGACCCTTCAATATGGTGGCCATGATTGTTTTCACTCCGTAGTGCCCTTCGGAGGGCGATATATTCTGTTTGGAACGCACCGCTAGTCTCTAATTAGGGTGGTCATATGTGCCATTTTTACGGGACACGTCCTGGCCAGGATTTTTATATTGCCATAAACATCCAAAGTGGTTTGGCCAATAACATGCAGGAATTGTACATAACCGACCAATTGTGGCACGTGAGAAGGAACGATCAAAGCGATGCAAATACGCGCAAGTTAGGTGTGTTTGTTCGTTCGTTCGGTGCGCAGACCGATCAGTGTATGACACCAAAGTACCGCGAGAGCGATTCGAAAGCATAAGGAACCACTTGCTCTGCTCTCTATAGCTCTCGCGAATGTCATACAACGGTCGGTCTGCATGCTGCAAACTGCCAAAACCAAAAAAGGACGTGTCCCGTAAAATGGCCTGCATGGTGACCCTATCTCTAACTGGTCAAAATGAATGTGTCTAAATAAAAACCTACTATTTTGACTATTTTTTAGTTCAACCCTTGTGAAAAAGAAGTACAATTATAGTTTCTATTTATATCAAAAGGAATTAAACTTTAGAGTGATTTTTGACCCAGTTAAGCAGAACTTAAGTACATCTTTATATGTAATTTCAAAATTACTTCTATTGTCTTTGAAATATGGTTAAAGTGCATTGTCGAATTCAGTGACAAACATTAATGGTAAACTAAAATATAATTTAATTTCTATTAAAAATTGTATGCCATATTTAAATATATTATATATATATATACAGATTTACTAACAGCTTGCACCAGCGCAAACCGTCTTTTGGTGTTAAAATAGTACTGTCAGGATTTACTAAAGAAGCGCAGTCTTTAGAATTAGCGCTTTATATTTTTGCGTCTGACCTTATTGAATATGCATTTGTAGGAGTTTCCCTTTCAGACGCAAAATTTATGGGAGGAGAGTATTAAAATGAATCACGCAATGCGTTTTACTAACGTTTGCGCTTGTCAAATTACTGGTATTTGCACCATTATTTAACACCCAAAAAAGTACATCTTTATATGTAATTTCAAAATTACTTCTATTGTCTTTGAAATATGGTTAAAGTGCATTGTCGAATTCAGTGACAAACATTAATGGTAAACTAAAATAATTTAATTTCTATTAAAAATTGTATGCCATATTTAAATATATTATATATATATACAGATTTACTAACAGCTTGCACCAGCGCAAACCGTCTTTTGGTGTTAAAATAGTACTGTCAGGATTTACTAAAGAAGCGCAGTCTTTAGAATTAGCGCTTTATATTTTTGCGTCTGACCTTATTGAATATGCATTTGTAGGAGTTTCCCTTTCAGACGCAAAATTTATGGGAGGAGAGTATTAAAATGAATCACGCAATGCGTTTTACTAACGTTTGCGCTTGTCAAATTACTGGTATTTGCACCATTATTTAACACCCAAAAAAAGCATGCCTTAAAGCAGGCAGTAATTTGGTAGATTGTCCTGGTCATTATGGAAATGATCTGGCTGTGTTCCTTAATGTGCGCATTGTCAGTAAATCACACACAGAATTTTCCCCTCCCATTGGCGCTTTTATGGAATGGTGCTCTAACGGTAATTTGCCCCGTTTAGTAAGTCTGGCCCTTAAAATATGTTATACCACTTATTATACGTTGTACTACTTTTTGAGCTAAAAATGAAATTACTTAAACTGTCATAAATCTTGAATGGTCTGGAGCAGACTGGTTTCTTTAAAACAAAAACACCTGGCAGATTATTACCGTCCACATTAAGTGTTTAAAGAAACTAAAATAAAGTTATATAAGTTTAAGTTTATTATCATAAAAAAATGCAAAAAACACTATTTTTAAATTTGAAATGAAATAGATATTTTCCAAACCATGTTTTACTCTAAACCTGCGTGAAAATGAAGCAAGTTGTGTTCCAAATTTGAGGTTGGTATCTTAAAAATTAGCTCTCAGTAAGCTTTTGATTGAGCGCAGTACCAGATGTTTCCACTTGATTAAACTATATAGCATGCCTTAAAGCAGGCAGTAATTTGGTAGATTGTCCTGGTCATTATGGAAATGTTCTGGCTGTGTTCTTTAATGTGCGCATTGTCAGTAAATCACACACAGAATTTTCCCCTCCCATCGGCGCTTTTATGGAATGGTGCTCTAACGGTAATTTGCCCCGTTTAGTAAGTCTGGCCCTTAAAATATGTTATACCACTTATTATACGTTGTACTACTTTTTGAGCTAAAAATGAAATTACTTAAACTGTCATAAATCTTGAATGGTCTGGAGCAGACTGGTTTCTTTAAAACAAAAACACCTGGCAGATTATTACCGTCCACATTAAGTGTTTAAAGAAACTAAAATAAAGTTATATAAGTTTAAGTTTATTATCATAAAAAAATGCAAAAAACACTATTTTTAAATTTGAAATGAAATAGATATTTTCCAAACCATGTTTTACTCTAAACCTGCGTGAAAATGAAGCAAGTTGTGTTCCAAATTTGAGGTTGGTATCTTAAAAATTAGCTCTCAGTAAGCTTTTGATTGAGCGCAGTACCAGATGTTTCCACTTGATTAAACTATATATTTTTTGTGTATTTATGTGTTCACATTGCAATTTTCATACCATTCAGACGAAGTAAAAAAAAATAACATGCTTCCTTTTAACAAGGCTAATAAAGTGGCAACTACAATGTATGTGTTCACATTGCAATTTTCATACCATTCAGACGAAGTAAAAAAAAAATAACATGCTTCCTTTTAACAAGGCTAATAAAGTGGCAACTACAATTTTACTTAATGTCTCCAACAAAAGACAAAACATCTTGAAATTTGAATGTGATCCAGTGGAGGGGCTTTTATACGCCCCCTTAAGGTAGGACATATAAGAAACAGTTATTAGCCAACAAGATTTGCAAGCCAGTGGCCCATCCACACCTCACCACCAAACCTTTAATACCTTGTAATAGCCGGTCTTGGCATAGATCTGGAAGTTTCCCTCCATAGTCAGCAGTGAGCCGTAGTTAGAGCCTCTCTGTGTGTGGAGAGATGAATAAGACATGAGCAGCTTTACTCAAACTATTGGAAACTATTAGAAATTACAGGGTGTGTATGTGTGTGTTTCCCCTCACCAATGACATGGTGAGTTTGCTGCAGGTTCTGCGCAGCACCTTCTCCATGTTACTCATCTGGATGTCCTCCCAGTGCACACGCCACAGCTGAGCGGTCAACTCATTCTCCAGTTTCAGCTTCCTGACGCCGCCGAGTGACGGACAGAGAATGAGACAGAGAGAGAAAGAAAGAAGAGTAAAAATAAGCAGAGGAAAGGGACAATGAGAGATGGGATGCAACTGGGAAAAACATCAGATGAAAAATTGTAATAAATGAGAAGGAGAAGAACATTTATTTGGCATAAATGTTAAATAATACAAATCAATATGTGCATCACTGTCAGCACCGGCATAGAGTGTATTGAATTTACGTAATAATATGATGCTCAATAATCAATACCGGTAAAACAGCTTTCAAGTGACACATGTACAGATTAAATGTCTTTCAGAGGAAAAGAGCTTAAAAATTCAGTTTTATTATTAGAATTTGCATGAAATAAACAAACTTTTCCATTCACAGACTCTCTCTTCTTTGTCAATGGTGTTACATGTTGATACAAATAATACTAAATGTCCCTTCAAAAAATATTTTTCATGAATTTGTCTTAAAATACTAAAAAATAATAGTATTTGTGTTTAAACCATTTCAATTTGTCAGAATGTTACAATACATCTTTTTTTTTTTAAGCAAATAATTTTACATGTAAAATGTTGTGGTCTAAGCCAAATCCTTATGCACAGGAAAGAAACTTCTTCTGTCAAGACATTTCATAGACTCTTTAATTATAAGACACTTTATTAAAACATATATAATTTTCTATATAGGAAATGTGTACATTGCAGTTGGATGTTTTGCCATTTGAAAGTGAGCAACAGCATCTGCCAAAGCAATTGTAGAATGACCCACTGGAGAATCTGGTATTCATTAAAAAAACCCAGAACAGAATATCATCAATGCACAACATATGACAGTCTAAAGCAGGGCTCTCCAGTCCAGCCTGATCTCACAGGAAAAAATAACTATTTTACATGACGACGATTACGCATGATTACCATTACGACACGATACGATTACATATGATCACGCATGAAGACCAGCCATGATATACAATTGAGATTTGTGTACAATTACCACTTAGCCACAAATTCGCCATTGTTCAACCTTAATGTGAGTGAGAGCTATTTGAAAGGATGAAATAATCTACTTGATTGATATACCATCTGTGTCTTTGGATTATGCTTCAGGATGACAATAACACACTGTTGCTGTTTTCACCGTCAGTCACTACCATATGTCCTAGGAATCATAATTAAATCTCTTGATATCCTGCGTCAATGAATATTATTCACTTTCTGTTGGTCACTTCGACAAGCAGAATTTGCATAGCTGGCCACGGCCTGGATATTCGGGTCTAAATCGTTCATAACACACTCATAACTTCAGTCATTTGTGGCGCTTTGTATAGGGACCCCAAGTGTTGGAAATTTGACACAACGTCGAAGTGACCGACTGAAAGGGAACGTCTCGGTTACGTATGGTAACCCTTGTTCGTTTACTGGCATTGCTGACCTCTTCATCATTTTCTGTTAGCCCATCAGATAAAATTGGGTAAAACGAGAATTTAAAAAAAAAATGACTTTTAATATCTTAGCTATTTCAGGTGAAAGCTGAATGGGGCTCTCCGCCTGTCATAATAATACATCATAATGTGTGAGTAATTTTTATAACTGAGCAATTTATATGACTGCAACATATGCAAATGAAAACTCTGAAAGTATCCTACTAAATGTAGAAATGTGTGTAACACTATAAAAATATTTAATATTTTAAAATGTTAAATGAAATGTTAAAATAGCTCTTATAATCTCATTCAAGTATTATGAAAAATAAATGCAATTACGTAAGGAATAATTAACCGTAGTATAAGCGGAATAATTGACTCCGGGCCGTTGGATTATTAGAAAAATAATGCACACCCGAGGTGGTGATGCGGCCATGACGCGAAGCAGAGTTACACCTCGATGAATGAATTATTTTCATTATTTCCCTGAAAATAATTGCACACCTTAGAACGTTCGTCAGCCAATCAGATTCAAGCATTCAACGGCCCCGTAGTATAAATAAAAATAACATGAATGTTATAGGATCTACATCATATTTGGAGAACAGCTGAAAATGTGATTTTTTAATAAAGCACAACCATCTTTGGCTGCAAATCTTGGCATGAACTTAATAGAAATCATATGCATTTCATTGTCACTGGATACATGGTCACATATGGTATAAAGTGATGAAGTCATGGAGACGTAGACTGAGCAGCTATATCTTTCTCTGTCATGGTCTGGCAGTAAGTTCCCTAATTAAACATCAGGAACAGATAGAGGAGGAGAAAGACAGACAGAGAGATATAAAATCAGACCCAGATCGCCCAAAGCTCAATATTTGCACACCTGACATGTAGTGTTACATCATGTCTACACTGCAGGCCAGTGACATGACCCAACGAGAACGCTCATGTTATAATCAATAAAGCATGATTAAAGTGCTCTAGTTTTTGTCACGTCTCGTCGCCCGCTCTCAGTATAGACATTGTGTTTGTCTGCTTGGGTTTCAACTGACCTGTATATGAAGACTGTGACCGTTACGATGATGATAAAAATGAAGCACACCACTATGGAGATCATCTGGTGCATGGTGACCGTCTCTGAGGAACAAAACCAAGAACACAATCTCCACACATCTGAATTTCATTAGAGTTCACACAGACCACAGTAAGACCTGCTGAAATCATTTCATACATATGATTTTATTCTGTCCTTTTCTCTTCTTTCTCTGCCACAGATGTCAGTATTTGAAATCTGCTTTAAAGAGAGCTTTATGAAACTGACAAAAACCCAAATGCACGATGAGAGCAATGTAAGCCAATTTGTCATGACAAAAGACTAAATTTATTCAGATGGGCCATTACTAAGAATGTACGTTTCCATGTTTTCATCATGCATGGTCTTAACGATGATATTAGTTTTTTTAACACAATATCCCTAATGCAAGATACCGTTCAATAGGTTGGGGTCAGTACGCTTTTTTTTTTTTAAAGATTAATACTTTAATTCAGCAAGAGCAAATGAAACTGAACAAGTGCCAGTAAAGCCAGTTATAATGTAATAATTTATATAGGTCTATATTGTTGTTATACTGATTTTTGAAATTTCTATTCATCAAAAAAAATCCTGAAAAAATATCACAATAATATGAAGCAGCACAACTCTTTTCAACATTCATATGAAATGTTTCTTGAGCAGCAAATCAGCATATTAGAATGATTTCTGAAGGATGGTTTCCTTGGTTTTCTTCTTCCATCTTTAATAAAATTACATAATTTGGTATAGTTGGATAATTTTCTATGAAATTTACTTCAAGCAATGGTTTACTTTGGCTCTTAATTTCTCTCCTGTTAATTTTCTTAACACTGTAATCTTAACAATAATCAAGCTCTAATCAGCTAAACTGATGTGCCTGAGCTTTAACAGAGCATATTTCAGTCTGCCTGCTGTGCAGAAAGACCTGTAAACACAAGCATGTTCATTAAAAATGCTGTTAAAATTAAGCTGCAGTTAAAAATGGTGCTGCACAACAGGAATAACCCATTTTAGATATGTCTTTTCTTACTCTTGCTCCTCAGTAGGCTCTTTGAGGATCATTTTCAGGTGACGAGTGTTTCACACGCTCTCACAATACTGATCAACTGCTGTGTGCTATTTTTTGGATCTGTTATTAACCTAAATTTAATTAAGTAACATTACAGAACTACATTAAAACAACATGAAACATGCCTCGATTTAATTATCACGTTAATCATTAACTCCCAGTGTTTTATCCTGCTTACACATACACATTTTTGCATCTATTAACTCATCACTACAATCTTCATTTCAGAAGGTACTGATTCTACTTTTAAATATTACAGTACACTCACTTATAATGAGAAACATTATTCAACACTTTATACTTCTATATACTATATGATGCATACAAATGTATACTTAATGTATTCTGAAAAATACTCATAAGTGAAGAATAATTTACAGTCAGCCAGTCATTGTCACAAAATATATCTCAACAGTATTAAAATAAACGAATGAAATGGCTGACTATATAATGCCTTGCTTATTGCATGGCTACTTATAAATGCAAGGACATGAAATATTGATTTGAGTCTAATTTACTGGGAACATGACATTTGGGAGTATAATGGTGTCTTTTCATACAGGTCTATTATTACATGAGTTATATAGGGCTGCACTCACTTGCCAGGCAGGCAGGGTTGTCGTTTTTGAAGCCACACAGTGGGATATCTGGAGGCGGACTTCCCTTCAGCCAGTACACCTTCATCCCTGGCTCCGGAATCATCCGCTTCTGACTGCCATTATACACGGACACAATCTAGGACATACAGCCATCATTTCAGCAGCGGTGAGATGGGTTTAGCCAGTAATGTATTTTAAATGTGAAGAGGTATATGATCAGATGAAGGCCTCTGTACCTGATAAACTCCAGTATCTGTGTCGGTCATGTCCCATAGAGCAAAGTCAATCTCCCGATCGCCATTCTCATCCAGCTGAACGAGTCCGGTAACCCCTTTCAAGATTAGAAAACAAACATTAGATCAGAGGTTCATATAAAAGCTGGAGTGTCAGGCTGTGCAATGCATTTTGAGCCGTTCAGGAGAAAACGCATTGTTTACATGCTGATTATGTTGATTACATTCTGGGGAAAGCTCGCACATATGCTACTCACTAAAATGGCAGAACTCAGGGAGAAGAACTGTGGAATAAATTATGTTATTTTAGTTTACTTTGCACACAAAAACTATTCTCGTAGCTTCGCAAAATTGAAGTTGAGCCACTGATGTCTTGCTACGTTTCTGGTAACATGCAGGGTCTATACAGGGTCAGAGAGCTCTCAGATTTCATCAACCGAAGATGAACGAAGGTCTTACGGTTTTGGAACGACATGAGGGTGAGTAATTAATCACAGAATTTTAATTTTGGGGTGAACTATCCCTTTAAGTACATGATCTATATATTACATTTCATAATTACTTCTTTGGTCTTTAAAATATGGTTAAAATATCCTTCTGAATGTTCTGACAAGCATTTATGGTAAACTAAAATATACTGTAAAGTCACTTCAATTGAAACTTCCATGTCATGTATTTAAATAAATTTGTAATTACACATTTGTAATAATTAAATTGCAAATTAGTACCTTTGAAATATATTAACGTTAAATGTAATATCAAATAACACACTACAGTTAAAATCAAATATTTTACATGTGCTTTAGTATGTTAGTCAACAACACATCGAAATAAGTGTACTTCTTTAAAGCACGACAAAAGATTATTAAAATATAATGTGTACAAAGTACACCTTTTAAGTGTGTAAAGAAACATAGGGCCAGATTTACCAAACAGGGCAAAATTCCAAAACAGCGCTGATGGGCGTAGAAATTTCTGTGTGTGATTAACTTACAATGCGCAAACTAAAGAACACTTACGCACCATCTCATTTGCATATCGACCAACCCAATATACTAAATGCAGTGCAAATTAGCGTAGTCGCAAATAAGCAGAGCCAATGTCCATCAACTTACGACACAGACGCAAATTAGTTTAAGACATACTTTTTTGGGGCATTAAATAATGGCGCAAATACTAGTAATTTGACAAGCGCAAACGTTAGTAAATTGTGTTGCGTGATTCATTTTAATTCTCTCCTCCCATAGATTTTGCGTCTGAAAGGGAAACTCCTAGAAATTAATATTCAATTCAAGGTCAGGCGCAAATATAACTGTCTCCACGCCTTTTCAGCGCTAATTCTTCACTGCGTGTCTTTAGTAAATCCTATCTTAACCAAAAAGACGGTTTGCGCTGGCACAAGCGGTTAGTAAATCTGGCCCATAGTCTTGAAAGAGTACTCCACATACACTTAAGTGGCCTTTTATTTCATTAAAGGAGTCATATGATGCAATTTCAAGTTTTCCTTTCTCTTTTATATTATTGTTTTTTGTATTGCATGTATATTTTTTATATAATTTAAAGTGTACAATCAATGCAATTAAGCACATTGACCAAAGCATTGAGCATTTGGTCTAATTTGCACTGGCACATCATTAATCATTCATCATGTAGCAGTTTAAATATCATTGATGGATGAACACAAGGCTAACGCAGTCAGCAGCAGATGCACAGCACCTCTAGGAAAAAAAGTCTTGGCCAAACCACACAGGGGAAAGGAGGCTAAAAGATAATCACACCTCATTTATCCAGTAGATTTTCCCATCATTGATGCAGTAAGCACTGAGCAAGCACACTACGCTTCTTGCCAGCAATTTGACTCTTTCCCAGCACTCAGCATTAATGTTGTGGGCACAACCTGACTGCAGTTTTCTGATTCCTGGCATCGAGTCTAGAACACCTGAGTTCTGCTAACCCATGCAGAGACATTCAATAGGCTATGATTTAACAAGCCATGGCCAGTTTCTCATAGCTTTTCCACAGTACCAAAAAAAACAACCCAACAACTATCAAATGGCTTAAAACATTTATGGTAGTGTTCTAACTTTTTTTTTTACTTGTTTTAGAGCATTAGATTATAAAAGCTTATATGAAAAAAGGTAACTGCTTTTTATCTCAAAATTCTTTTTTCAGTTTGTTTCTCAGAATTGCGAGTTTACATCTCAAAATTGCGAGTTTACATCTCACAATTAATATGACTATTTTTCTCACATTTTTAGACACCTGACCAGACTGCATGCAAGTCGGAATTGTGAGATGTAATCTCAGAATTCTGTGGAAAAAAAAAATCTGAATTGCGGGATGTAAACTGACGGAAAAAGTCAGAATTGTGAGATGCAATCTCAGAATTCTGTGAAAAAAGTCAGAATTGCAGGATCTAAACAGAATTTAACGAAAAAGTTGGAATTGTAAACTGAGAATTCAGAGAAAAATTCAAAATTGTGATATGTAAACAAAGAATTCTGAGTAAGAAAGTCAGAATTGCGAGATGTAAACTCAGAATTCTGAAGAAAAAAAATCAGCATTGTGAGATTTTAGTCACATATCAGAAAATGGCAGCTTTATTAATTAGATCAAGAGGTCTTTTCAGGGGGAATGTTTTTCTCCTCAGAAATGCAAATTCGAAGTGCGTGTGAGTTTAAAATAAACTGAATGTTCTTTGATGTGTTTGGTCCATCTGCTGTGGTCTACCACCTCAACCTCTTCCCAACAGCCCCTTTGATTATGAACACAGATCTGCTGTCCTGCACCGTATCCGACACTCAGACATTCTGTGCCACCACAGCACGCTGATTCAATAAAATCCCTAAATCTAGCACGAGCCATGCAAAACTCACCACCACAATGTGAGGAGTTTCTGTGGTTGCCAGGATGGTGTTATGTGATTTATAGCTCTAGGTTAGTGGTTTTCAACTAGAACACCTCAGCAATCTTGCAAGATGGTCGCAATATGACTTAAAATCATTTTAAAATTGTATTAAAATAATCTAAGTCAATCAAAAAATGTAAAATAAAATATGTACACCAACAACATGGGGCCATATTTCTCAGTATGCTGAAAATAGACTGAAAATGAGCTCTCACTTGGACAGTTTTCATTTTCACTGCAATGTAGAGATCTGTACAGACTGATTTTTCTCTACTGCAAGTTTCATTGCTCATGCACTACATTCAGATTTTACTCTGAGTAGGTGTCCCTGCCTATAATGAATCTGTTCTAATGCACGCATTTGAAGTAATAAACCACTCAAACATTACAATTCTGTTATTTACTGACCCTCATGTTGTAGGCTGTCAAGATTCACAGAACAAAAATGCTTCATTAAATGGAAATTCTCCCATAATTCAAATTAAATGTGACCTATGGTGCAGGTTTGGCATCATTATGTTACAAAACACTCAAGAACCTATGGCATTTGAGGTTTCTGATGATGCCTAGTAAGCACTGAAGCTGATTAGGAAGAAAGACCCACGTTAACAGTATTTTAAAAATACAGCATTTTTGGAACAACATGAGAATGAGAATGAGTAAATAAATACTACATTTCATTTTTTGGATGAACTATTGCTTTAACAGGTACAGAGGGATGTTAAAAATAACAGAATTTGTGGTGGAACTTGGCTGATTCACAACAGTCTGATTCTAGTTATGAGTCTTTAGAGAGTTGCTATTCCTGAATTCCTTTACCCCATGTCACGTTCCCCTGGTATACTTTCTAATTTCCATGTCAAAATGGTGTGAGCGGGTTTGAATGCATAACGACTACATGTATTTTGTGAAGCTGCAGACTCTTTCGACCCTTGAAGTTGAAATGTGTGTCATGAGTCCGGTGAGTATCGCTTTCAGTGTCAGCGGGATGGAGAATGATTTTTACTGCCTCAGCGTGTTGATACTGATCAATACTGCTCACCGTGGGAAGCGAGACAGAGACGGACTGCAATGGCGATGAGCAAGACATGTTAATGGAGTAGAAATAATAACAGTGACGTGGAAAACACAATAAAGACAGAATCGGCCAAGACTGCGATAAGAAATCAATGCTGAATAAAGAGACTCAAAGACAGTGTTGTGTCTAGAGAGACTCTATTAAAACAGATGTCATGAATGCACATCTCTCTCAGCGGTAATGGTGATTTGGGCTCCCATGGTCCCAGCGGAGAGCCAGGTTCAGCTAGCAGCATAGAGTTTCATCCCTGTCATGGCCTCGTATGGTTTCCATTTGAGCCTCACTAATAGGCCGCCAATATAAAGTGTGTGTGTGCATGTGTGCATGTGTGTTAAGTGGGGGTACGTGCATGTGTGCATGCTCAGGAGTGTTTGTCTCTCCGAGTCGAGGATAAAGTTCCCTCCATCCTCAATATCTGATCCGGAGTGTACCAGCTTTTGCAGCATCAAATAGAATGAATAAGGAAAGTGGTTACTGGAGCCTGCAATAGCGTGTACTCTTCGAAACAGCCCCTTTAGTTAGATTGATTTCAGAGTAAAACATCTTTTTATGAGGTTGCATCTATGTAATTAGACATCAGCGTTAGCGATAATTTGACAGACCCCTCTTGCATGAAGCGACAGGAGAAAAAACAACGCTGCCGTGACTGACATGGCTTTCTTCCTTTAATTTCAGCTCTAATTAGCTTGGTATTTACAAATAACTGCAGTGAAGTAAGAGGGGAATGACATGCAGGACTTGTTATTTCTAAAAAACAAGGAGCTTACTTTCAGAAAAACTTGAATGCAATGTAAAATAAAAGTATCTGATGAATGTAAGATTTTGGTAAAAAATAGCAATGCTAAATTAAATGTATCATCATTAAAAATGGATACGTAAAAAATATAGTTATTAAAATTTTGCAGGAACTAGGAAATACAACAAAAAATTTATTTTAATTGTTATCACGATTTCTGCTTCTCTCGATTGATTAAGCATAATCATCTGCAGTAATTTCTGCTGGTTATTTATCCTGAAAACATGTCATTTTCATTTGACATTTTCATGATCTTGAACTGGTAACAAGCCTTCATAAGCTTTTATACTTGCGGTTGCCAAGAGTTGTCAAAGAGTTTCAATCCCACATTCAGAGCTTTTATCTTAAATGGATACATTTTCTGCCAAGTGTTTTAATTAATTCCAAACTGGCAACTACGTGTATGTGCTCTTTCTGCTTTGAGAAAAAAGCACTGATGATCTGAAAAAAAATCAACAAACATGTCGACTGGAGTTTTGTGATCTCTATTGAGATATTCTGCTCAAATGAGAGTGTCATACAGCCAGCCTATGTTCCTCCTAAATCGGCAAGTGAACCTCAGTGACAAACTGTATTAAATCCAAATACTGTGCCACAATACAAAGCCTTTTTTGTTGTTGTGAGAGAAAGGGAGATTTCTGCAAAATGCAATTTAAGTATGTTGCTCAAACGGTTTATGATTTTTCTTAATAAAAGACCATTTTTGGCATTAATAGGATATTACAGATTTTTCAGCTGCATCTGTGTAAGATTTTGCACATAAATACTCATAAACAGTAAATCTTTTTCTACATTCATGCTGCAAACCATTCACAACAAGAACCATTGCAAACCATTTACAACAGAAACACCAAATGTTTCCTTTTATGAAATGTTTCCAATATGATGTTCTCTTAGTAAGCAAAAACACAGCATATGCGTGCAAGTTTGAACAAGTGGGACCATGTGGTGTGAATGTGCATTAAAAATCCTACTATCACAGGACACAAGAACTTAATAATACCACCAGAGGGATTGCGGACTGAATCATGGGGAAAAGCTTATAGAACACTCAGATGGTTTGCTTGGGTGTGGGAATGGACCAAGTGGGGTCTTCTCATATCAAGACATATAAAAAGCATGAACATTTCTAAATCTATATTCTTCCCACCCTGACCAAAATATATCCTGTTCACATGATCTGCATGATGGGAAATGCACCTCGAAACACAAGCAACACATGTCGCATTGCCCTCCAGATGAAG